GTGAGAATACAACTCCTTGGTTAGTCAAACACATTATCAAATCTTTTGTTGATGAATAACAAGTGTTTTGTATTTAATTGGAAGAAAAGACAGGGAATAAGCTAATGCAAAGATAGTTTGTAAAGTATGTTTGTTCGTAGAATATCTAGGTGTGAATGTGAGATTAGTGCACTCAATCTCTTCTATGTAAGTATTCTGCAAAGACCCAAATGTACTTCCCTGCTAATCATTTTATAAAATATCTGCAAAGTATGTGAGAAAAGAATGTCTAGTAGGCATATAGATGAAAACATGATCATATGTACCCTCATATTGTCCTTGGCATATTTTTATGCTACTTTCAGAAAAAGTACGTCTTCCTGTATCTATGCCATTTATCTGTCCTTTTGTTCTACAAAGAAAACTAAATACTGATTGTATAGCTTTCTCTCCCTCTATTTACTCCAAATGTTTTAGCAAGCTGCATACATGTCTTTGCAGCTTGTTTTCCTTGCATTGAATGTTTTAGCCACTCTAACTTGTAAATTAGTATGGTAAATGGAATAATTGTTGGAAAATGTTTCTTGTTCTTGTAAAGGTGAAAGACTAGAATCTTACTAGTTGTGCCCCAATCTAGTAGACTGTCTGACCTACTGTAATGGTGTTTTGTTATAATTTTGAACCCTTTTAAATATAGTATGATTCTCTCTCTCTCTCTAAAGCTTAAAGTATCCACCTGCACTTGTATATACATCGATGGTGCTCTTGGATAACTTTCATTTCTCTTTTGAATATCACTTATTCAGCTTGCCTTTTAGCAGAGTTACTAAAAGAAATATGTATGGTATATGCATGTAGATTTTTGTCAATAACCTTTAAATCTATTGCAGATGGAATCCTTTTGGGTGGGATTTTGATCACGTATGAGTTCCACAAGTTTTTGCGGCTTATTCTTTTGCTTACGCACTCATTTTGGATACCTCAAATTGTCACTAATGTGGTTCGAGACTCGAGAAAACCACTGCATCCTCATTATATCATAGGAATGACTGTAACTCGGTTAGCAATTCCATTGTACGTCTTTGGCTGCCCTCACAACTTCATGCGAATAGCATCTGACAAGAACTGGTGCATCTGTTTGGGTATTTTTATGGGCTTCCAGGCTTCAATTCTTCTTCTACAACATTACCTTGGTTCACGGTGGTTTATTCCTCGACAGGTCTAACACTTTTTATGATATTTATATAATCATATCCCTGCTATTTTTTGTTCATAACCAAAAAAGACACAAATTTGCTGCTGCATGTTGCCCCACCTTTTCTCATCCCTATTTTCTGCATTGATTTTTTCAAACAAAATACTGCTCCTCTATGAACTGTGCAGCACAAAATCTACATCTCTCAAAACTGACCTCTGAGAGTGACAGCATGTACAAAATTTTTCCACCATGCCTCTCTGGCTTCAACAATGTTGTCAAGTGGTTTGCATACCTATTGTCAAATTAGCTATGTGTTTTACCTTACTAAATCTAGGGTTTTTGCTATCTTAGCCACTGTAATTTTTGGATCAATTTTACAGTTTGTATGAGTTTCAAGCAGGATTAATCATATCAGTTTTACTTGTAACAATTTATAGCGTAACAGCCCAATGCTTGTATTTGGAAGCTCCTATACAATTATTTCTTATAAAATATGGCAAAAGAACATTATGTTATTTTCTTGTCTTCAATTCATGTGCTGATAGTATTTTTTGTTCAAGTCAAAGTACCTAAGTCATGTCATTTATAATTACTTGCATTGTCTTGTCGCTGTCTACCTGGTAAATTTGATAAATTGTGAAGAAGAATATGGATTCGATATCCTGAGTGTTTCTTCTCACTAATGCTACATGAAAGATAGATTCACATGTTTGTGAATAACTATATATTTTTATTTCTCTCAGTTTTATGGATTGTTGAAGGATTGAGCTTGCATATCTTAGAGAGAGTGCCTAATGTGGTATAAAAAGAGAATCTCTTGAATCATCTTTTTTTAAGTCTCTTAAAATCATCAGTGGAGTAGTTTTGGTTTAGCCATACTAGTGTGTGATGATGGATATATAAGAGAAATGACATATGTTATTGTTTAAAAAATTGATTAGCAGCTATTTTGTTGTACTTTATTGAGCAGTTAAAAGTGTTGCTTTTTCATTATGCATGTGATAGTGTGATTGGAGCTTTGCATTTCTGTCTTAAACAGCCTTCATCTGAATTGTGCAGATTTTACCCGAGAAATACAGCTATTATAGAAGGTTTGATCAGGATCCAAACCATGCTACAGACTGTGTCATTTGTATGACTTCAATCGACCTTACTCAACGCTCTAATGATTGCATGGTATTAAATCAAATGGTTAGCACTTTAATTGCTTCACAGGATGACATCTTTTAAAAGTATATGTTTTGATTGAATATTTTGTAATCTAGGTTACACCGTGCGATCATTTCTTTCATTCGGGCTGTTTACAAAGATGGATGGACATAAAAATGGAGTGTCCAACCTGCAGACGTCCTCTTCCACCAGCTTGAGGAGATTGTATGACCTTTCCATCCATTTTTTCAGGGACCAACTGACATTGCTCAACCTGCTAACTGGGGTAAATGGCTTCTTACAGGCTCTCAATTGCTGTTTAACTTGCTAACTTGCTGGGTCAGTTCTTTTTTTCCACCTTCCAATTTTAATGTAATGTCAGATCCTTCAAGTATATAAATCTTGCTGGGAAGCAAAGTAACAGTTAACGTCGGGACATTTTCAAATAGTTTTATAATATGGATTATGCATATTTTGCAGTAGAATATACTTTCTTTTCCCCGAAATCCAACTTAGCTGGTAGGGATATTAGCTAGGTGACTATGAGCTCCCTGGTTCGACTTTCAAGCCCTCCCTTTTCCCATTTCCCCCTTGATAATGTTTGAAGTCTCTCATTGAACCAAAAGAATATACTTTCTCAAATATCTGTATCTGCAAATTTTTTTTGGCATTTCAAAAGGGCTAAACTTGCATCTATACACGTTTAAGTTTTTTAACATGTCTCACATGCTTAATTTGCCAAATAAATTTTGTCAATGTCCTGAAGTTTTTGTTTTCTTATAGAAGGCTGATGCTTTCTCCTTTACACTTTGAGAGCTCATTGCAGAACATGTAATACCTAAAATCTCTCTATAACAACTTTACTAGCCCCATACTAAAATCTTGCATTAAGCTTTTCTTCTTTTACTTTTTGTTTCTCTAAAAAGGGAAAAACCCCAATAAGCTTTAACAACAATATATTATCTCAGGTTGGAGGAATGGACCAGATTCGGCTTATTACATCTTTGGAAAAAGGGCGAGAACTATGTGTAGTTATGGATGAACGTGCTGACCTGCAAAGTTGTATTGTGATGTACATTATAGGAGTGTAACATTTTACTGAAAATTGATGATTCTTCTAAATTTTTTTTTCCAGCGTTGTGTCATTTTCCCCACCCAAGTTTCATAGGTATTCGAGACCTTAGGTGATCCCTCTATGGGGAAGAAAAAAAAAAGGGTACAGTTCTAAGCTTACAATTCAAGGTAGGTGTATTGGTGTATATTCAGTTACAGGATTGATATGAGAGTAATGGACCAAGTCATTTTTCACCGAAATCTTTCCAAAAAAAAAAAAAAAATCAGACTGCTGTCATATCCACTGCTCCCATTGGTTCCACCTCTGCCATCACGGCCGGCACTGCCACTCCCGATGTTTGTTTCCACCAGCACTGTTGCATTAACGAGCCTATTTCTCTTACCTCAAAGCTTATGATGGCTTTTTTAGTTGTAATATGATGAAACCATGGACTAAGGCAATGAGGGTGCAAGGTGAAGCAGAGCTGAAGGTAGGGAAACAGATGCGCAGATAGGCTAGCAGAGCAAGTCTTGCACAGGGCCACCAGCGGGAAATGTCAAGAGTTGCAGGATCCACCGGCGGTATTGAGGAATCTGCTTGCAGATGACATTGTTGGAGTGGCAACCCCACGTCTAGTCTCTTGTTAACGTGCTGTAGCCCTCCCTAGGAACCACCACCCCCCCCCCCGGGGCCCCAACCAAAAAAAAGAGGAGGAAACCATGGATCAGCGTTTAGCTCATCGACAAGAATGTTGTTGAAGTGACATTGAAAGCCATTGAAATTAAATGAATTCGAGACTTGGTAGTGTCACCCCGGAAAGGGTCCAATGGTGCACGACTCCAGAGTAGATGGGTTCAATGCAATCATCGAACATTAGGAGATTACATTGAAAAAAAATTAAATAAGTTGAGCCAGATGAACAAATGAAATAGCATTATGGCAGTGGATTTCTTGAAAATCCAGTTCATATTCAAAGCCCAAAGGTTTGATTCCTCGATTCAAATTGAATTGCCAAGAAGTCGATTTCACTATTGTAGGATAATAATAACTATACTTCGTTAATTTTGAATAAATTAACAATACTTCTGCAATATCCTGCAGTATCTGCAGGAATGAGCAAACCTAACAGCCAATGCTGCATGCGCAATTTGTTCAATTCATCTTAAAATGACCTCTTCACCAAGAGTTGAAAACAGGTTGGCAAAAAGGCAGCCTATCAAGATACATTTTGTCTCGTAATGGGAATGTGTGTGTTGCAGTATCTATTTGCTAGGGATCTCCTAACTGGCAACTAATATACGGGTTTATCAGGATGCATTCTCAAAGTTGGTAAATGTGTATCTTTCATGAACTTGTTAACCATTAAAAGTATGATTTAAACACAGTCGATCAGGACTTGATGAAAAAAACTACTGTGAGAAATTAACACGGATTAGATCTGTGGTCATTTGGTAGAGTGTTATATGAGTTCTTGGTTAGTAATAAGCACCAGCTTTGAAAACATGTTAAAAGGAAAGGGTGGCTTCAGATGTTTGATGTGACAAATGAGCTAATAATTTGAAACCTCGGGTATCAACTATCAATCAACATTAACATCTACTCATACAAACGTTGCCATGGACAAATCAAAAGTTTCAAGACGAGAGCAAATTTACAAGACAAACTTCAATCAAATCATTAACAGGGCCCCAGCAAAACCAACATGGATTTTGTTATTTTGCTCACTGGTTGAGATGACTATAGTTGCTGCTGAAGTTAGCCACTGGGAGGCGAAGGCAGTGGTGTTGGGGCAGGAGGAGTACCAGAACCACCACAGTGATAGTCAAAGCATTCCACAGGATGCTCATACACTGCAGTGCATTCCTTCTTGGTCCTCTGAAGAGGCTTTTCCAGCAAACAGTTTCGACGGTCATCAAACGCAATGCCTCTGGATGTCAAGTTCATGCAAATGCCTTCCTCCTCACAGAAGAAGTTATAAGAATATGTGAAATTGGACAAATTAGGCAATACACAAACTCCAGCGGGCACGTCTCCAGTAAACATGTTGTGAGCTAAATTGAGGAGCTCCAAGTGAGCTAATCCTGCAAGGCTGTAAGGTATTGGACCAACTACTCTGTTGGAGCTCACGTCTAGGACCCTAAGTTTGTATAGATATCCAACCTCAGGTGGCAGGCACCCTGTTAAGCTAGTATTGATCAGGAGCAATTCCTCTAAAGTGTTTGCAAAGTTGGCTATGCTTGGAGGAAGGCAGCCTCCAAATTTGTTATTCGCAAACACCACAACAGATGCTGAACTCAAGCCTAAATTTGGTGGTATGACAGAAGTAAAGAGATTGTTGTTGAGAAAAACTGCATCCAGTTTTTTGGCAAAGAGTTGAGCAGGTAACGGCCCTTCAAACTCATTAAAGCGAATATCAAGAAACTTCAGCGTCGGAAGAGAAAGTACAACAGAAGGGAAAGGGCCTACAAATCTGTTGTTACTGAGGTCAAGCTCAAAGAGTAGAGTAAGGTTTGCTAATGATTGAGGGAGGATGCCACAGAACCGGTTGCTATTGAGATGAATCAATGCAAGGTCTGAGAGAAGGCCTAGTTCCTCAGGCAGAAAACCAGCGATATCAGCAAAGTTGAGGTCAATGCCAGCAACAACTTGTATTTTGGTATTGTCTGGATAAGGGGCACAGTAGACTCCTGTGTAATTGCATACTGAAGGGCCAATCCAGTTTGAAGTGAAGTTTTTAGGGTCAGAATAAATTACTTTCTTCCAAGCTTGGAGAGCCACATACGCTTGTTGCAATCTGGGATTTATTGTGGCTTTATTCGTGGGGTGATGTCTGTAGTGTTGGCGGTGGCGGGTGGATGAGTAACCATGTTTAGCAAAGCTGTTGAAGGATGAAAGGATCAGCACTAAGAGAACCATGGCATGGGCTAGAATGAAGGCAAATGAAGCCATTGCTGTAGCAAGGTTAGATCCTAATTGCTGTAGAAAGGCCTCTCAATTCATTAAGGTTGCTACTGCTCTGGGGATTCCCTGAGTTTTATACAGACAAGATCCACAACAGCACATGTTACAACCACCAAATACAGCGACCTTTAACTGTCACAACTGATAGCCAAGATGATCATTATGCCTTCCGAGGTTTCCAGGTCTATGTTGGATGGCCTGTGCATAATTTATCTAGTACTATAATTTGATGCCTTGACATGAACTCACCTGCTGCTTTCAACTGTGATAGGCATATGCATTCTCTGTTTGATGTGGTCACCAGTATCTTCATTTTTTCCTAATGCACTATCTGCACAAGATTGGGCAGAAGAAAATATGCATGATATGGACTTTCCTCCTTCCATGTAAATAACCTGTTTTCTGAAGTGGAAGTGGAGAAAGACAGCTTCAGCCTCCAGAGAGAGACAGAAGGGAAGTGAAAGGAACAAATGTTTTCTTCAGTTGGAAGGGATAAGCATGTTGTCTCTGCGAGGTTTTCCAATTGTCAACCCTGGGGGGTAAACTTCAGCATCTAGCTAAATAAGTCCTGGTCAAAACCGCATTTGAACACAAAGAAGAATGGTGGAGATTTTGTACAGACCACAGAAAATAGCAATCCAACTGCTCTTCTAGATAGGAAACCAGGGTCTGAACAAATCATCCCCTCTGTTGAAGAATCATTTTACTAATCACTGTTGCTGGATGGATCTAATACCATTAAACATGAAATATATATAATGCCAATCTTAAAACCTAGTATTCTTAACTGATGCTTGATACATAAAACGCCAACCATTCTATGAGTCAGTTCAATAGTGATGAGGAATTCTATGATTGCTACCAAAAGGTCAGAGATGATGTCATGTTGGAGTTTCTTTACCAAAGCCTAAGGTGAACAATCATAGTCATTCGTAAGGACTTTTTTTAAGTTTTGGGTCGGACACAGGTGCAATTGGGTTCACTTGGTGGAGCTTTACCATGTTTCCTGATGAAAATTGTGGGGCAAGAAAAGAAGAGACTGAAAAACAAGAAAACTAGCTCATAATAGAGAACCTTTGATGTAATTGCTGGACTATAACCTTGATGAGTGCAGAACTCGAGATACAGAAATAACGGGAATTAAATCACAAGCAAAAAATTCAAAAAAAAAAAAAAAAGTAGTAGTCCTTGACCTGAAAAGGATGCCAGAGAGAGAGTGTTCCAAGTATCTTTCAGAAGAGAATCTTACCCCTCAGAAAACTCGGATTACATAATAGACAGGTTCCAAGTATTTCTTTTCAGAAGAGAAAACTTGGATTACATAATAGACAGAGTGTTCCAGGTATTTTTCAGAAGAGGATCTTACCCCGCAGAAAACTTGGATTACATAAATTTTACTTGTTCAGATCAATACAGTAACAAAAATGGACCCGTCCCTTCCGGGACATCATCAGGTAAGAAATGGACCAAAGATCCAAAATTACATACCTTCTGCTTTATGTCATTTTTCCTTTCCCCCCTAGCACAAGATTATCTTTTGTCTTCCCTTCAGTTTTTGACCACATAGATATTAGTTTCTTCCGCATCAGCACTTAAAATAAAAAGAAAAAGGACACTACAGGCAACAGGAGAATAGACATAACACTTACAAAACACAGGTGGTGTCAAATTCTCAAGAACGGCATGAGGTAAAACAGTTTCTTCTTCTCAAAAGAACACTCTCAGAAGAACACTAAACAACACGCGGGCATAAAACCCAAGTTGCACAAGCTTCAAATAAAAGTTTTGAAACTTCCAATAGGTATCACTACCATATATTACACCATCCCGGAGTACTAAATACTGCTAATGACAAGTAAACTATTGTTCTCCAGAATTATTTAAAGCACAAATAGGTGGACCACCTAGACAATCTTCAGACTCATCTTCGTCATCATCATCACCATCACACCACACTCAAATTAACCACCACCACCACCAGATCCGTATTTCTTGCCAAAGACAATGAGCTGCAACTTGTCGTATCCAGCTAAAACACCAGCACCAGCAACAGCACGCAAGATGTTCGCTCCTGCACCATTGAAGAGTGATCTGGCTCCCTCTTTTCTTATGATCTGAGAAAATGCATCCACTGACCCCTTGTACTTGACAGCCTCGCCAGAGGTCATCATCATTCTTCTTCGCACAGTATCAATTGGATAAGAAGCCAATCCAGCCCCAATGGTAATACCCCATCCCAGCAAGAAACTAGCAAAGAAACTATCCTGTAAATAACAACCAAAATATACAATAGTGAGGCCCCAATGCACAACCATATAAATGATCCACATAGCATAAGACATGAAACAGATGTAATGAAGCAATAATTAGTGCTTTTCAGCTATTCAAATTCACATTGGTTATACATCAATAGCACCATAGACATAGAGAAAGTCAAGCACTTTAATCAGATACAGCAGGTAAATCATAAAATTGCTTGTAAAAAGAGTCATTAAAAACTTTTTAAAAATTTTCTACAGTATGCTGAGCAACTGAAGAATGAAAAAGAAATTAGCAACTAAAGATAACAATAGGGTGAAGACTAAAGATGCTGAGACGCAAGTGTTGAAGAACCCAGGGAGTTTTACTTGCCTGAAGATCTCCCACAAGGAGAACAGGTTTAAGTGAATCATACATTCCAAAATACAGTCCACGGTAAACAATGATTCCAACACAGGAAAGAGTGAATCCACGATAGAGCCCTGCAATACCATCGGACTGGAATGTTTTCTTGTAAACATCAATTAAACCATTAAACTGCCTCTCGCCACCCTTTTTAACTGACTTAGCATCATTTGCCAGACGTGTTCGCGCGTAATCCAGGGAAAAGACAAACAGAAGAGAAGATGCACCAGCTAAGCCACCAGATGCCAAATTCCCTGCAAACCACTTCCAGTAACCATCCCTGTCTTTCTTGAAGTTAAAAAGGCTCTTGAAGTAATCTCTGAAAGCAAAGTTCAGAGCCTGAAATGAAACAGAAAACACAAGCAAATGAAGAAGAAAAGAATCCTAAAATTTTAAATTCCATACAGTCAGTCTAACAATCAGCATAGAAAAATTAAGCACCTTCAATTAAACATACACGGATACTATCAGATTAACTTTAATGGGTATACATATCAAGTAGTATAAAATTGAACTCTTTATCCACGCCCAAAGGTCAACTTTAATTGGTGTAGCATGGTAGGCCTATCAATTTGAACCAGCATAAGTACTAAATGCTGAAGGAGACCAATAAAGGCTTAAAGGAAGTTTACCTGAGTAGGGAAGTATCTGATCACATTGGCAGTGTTGCCTCTCCAAAGGGCCAGGACACCTTCGTCCTTGATAGTTCGGGCAAAACAATCAGTGATTCCCTTGTATCGTTCACTCAGGCGGCCAGCTTTAATCATCTCATCTTGGTTCTGAATTAAAAGTTTGACTCTCTCAATTGGAGCAGCAGCAGTTTTTGACACAGCAGCAGAAACCCCTCCCATGAGGAAATCCACCATAAAACTAGAAAAGCTTCTCTCATTTGCAGCTGGTATCACAATTGGGGACAGTTGTGAAACAATTTCGAGCCCAGAACCATGAAAGGCTGACATGAAAGGGCTACAAAGGCCACCATTGGCATATCCATAGACACTGGAAAAATTTTGTGCACTAGCATTTCTAGAATGCATAAAAGGAGAAATTTGAGCAAAAAAATAAGATTGCCCATGCAATTTTTCAAGTACAGACGGATGATGCAAACCATCCGCCATTTTTGCCTGATAATCCGGTGACCTGCAAAGACAAATTATATTCTCAAAAACAGACCTAAATCTGGAGGAATACAATAAAAAAGTATTTTACAAACTTGAAAAATGTCAAAGTTCGTAAATCCTAAATCCAATTCACAGAAATAAATCCCGCATATGCACAATTCAACTTCATCAAATACCCAATCGGAAAACCACACTGATAATGCAACTAAATTATATAGCCCAAATAATTACTGGAACAAGTAAGCAAGGAATCCGAAAAAACGATTTCTCATGAACTAAAAGAATAAAAATTTCTACAAAACCAGAAAAAAAAAAAACCATTCCATTAAAGCCAGAAAGTTCAGCCTCAAACACAAGTAAATCAACCAAATGGAACTAGCCCGTTTGGGCCCACATAGTATTCATTATTCTAAAAAGATCCCATGTCCAATTTAACGTCCTAAATTTGTCTCAAATAGCAAATAAAAATATCAACTTAAAGTAACAACCCCATTAAAACCCATAATTTAAATAGTAATAAAAAATTCGGAAAAAAAATCAACAACATAATTTTGCGCCACCAAAACCATGCAGCAATATCAACTGTAACTAAGCAAAGACAAAAAAACAAATAAACAAAAACTGAAAGATCTAAAGCAGTTACTAAAGTCATCACAAATTCTAGCTAAAGCAAATGGAACACAAATTTTATGCGTTAAATTAATTAAAGAAGGAAAAACGAAATCATGATCACACACCAGATCTGTTAACTAACTGATAATTAATTTGAATTAAGTGAAAATAAATTGAACTCTACCTTGGACAAAGGTCGCCCAGAAGAGAATGGAGTGAGGCAGCTAAGCTGAAAGCCTCCTTCCAGAATGTGAGGAGAAAATGTTGGACTCTCGGGAGAAAGGGAAGTATGTAGGGTTTTGCTTATTTACAGGTTTACCCTATTTACTCGAGGAAATTGCAAAAGTACCATCCTTCATTTTCCCTTTTTTTTTTTTTGAAAGATGTGGATAAATCCCAAATGTGACGTTTTGTCCTGGAGCCTAATGCAATATTATGTTTTATTAATTGGAATTTACCGCTAATTAATTACATTAATGATGGATTTATATTATTATTTCCGGATAAGGTGACAGAAGAAGGGAAGCGTATAAGTGTAAAACTGCAGAAGTGATTAGGATGACAACAAAATTCTTTGCCAGGTAGGAGAAAAGTCTTATTGCTAGACAAGTAATTCGTGGAAAATGGGTATTGATACAAAATAAAAAAGAATAGAAATTACAAACATAATACTAACCATCAATTTGTAGAAAAGTAGGTTTGTGATACGTTATTGTATTGAAATATGAACTTGCATTATATGGATGGGAGTTTATTTAGAATAATAATGTGATTTTTTTTTAGGGTAAAAAATTTCAGTAGCTACTAAACTATTGATCGGATCATGTTTTGGTCATCAAACTATTTTTCGTCAGTAATTGGCCATTAAATAACATGATCGTTAAATCCATGACCATTTGGTCGATAATTGTTTTTAATCTGTGAAATTAGCAGTTAATCTGTGAAATATGATTGCATAGTTTAATGACCGCCGAGATTTTTTGCCTTTTTTTTATAATGTATTCTGTGTGAAATAAAAAGGGAATTAAGAAATGCATTTTTGTGACGTAACCAATTTTTTTTTTAAATAAAATTTGTATCCAAACAAGCCAAACTCTTGTGTCCATTCAATTAGGAATATGAAGTCCCTACACAAGAAACTCTAAAAAATTGCAAATTTGTACAAAATAAGTGATTGTGGAGTCCAATAATAGGGACCAATTTAGCCAAAAGTCAGCTAATTCAATCTTTGAAGTCAAGGTTTTCACACTAGCTAGCTAAGAGGCTAGCTAGCGTATAATGATTGCCATTAGAAACGTCTAGATATCAAATCAAGCTACGGAAGAAGGAGAGATAGAAGAGCAAGATCAAATTCCAATATCACAACATATAAATACAAAAACTTGCAGTTCTTTCTTCTGAAAATCACTCTAGGTGCCTGGGTCTGGAGCCCAGGTAACATGTCTTCAAATAAATGGTTCAATAACTCTAAAAACAGGTATTGATATTACATTTTCCTGTGAACTGAATTTTCCTGAGATACACGAGGATGTCAACCACCTACACAATCATCATAGAAGTTTTCTCGTCATCATCATCACCACCGCCGATGTCGAATTTAACCACCACCAGATCAATATTTCTTGCCGAAGTAAATGAGCTGCAATTTGTCGTAACCTGCTAAGACCCCAGCACCTGCAATAGCACGCAGGATGTTGGCTCCAGCACCTCTGAACAGGGATTTGGCACCCTCATTCTTGATGATCTGAGCAAATGCGTCCACCGAGCCCTTGTACTTGACAGCCTCACCGGAGGTCATCATCATTCTTCGACGCACCGTGTCAAATGGATAGGAAGCCAATCCAGCGCCATTGGTTACACCCCATCCAAGCAGGAAGCTAGCAAAGAAACTATCCTGTAAATATGAATCACAAATGCATGATGTTAATAAGACAGAAAAGCTAGTTTCTGTGTTTCCAAGATCTTGGGAATGTTTGACTTGCCTGCAAATCACCAACAAGGACAACAGGTTTGAGTGAATCATAGAGTCCAAAGTATAGGCCGCGATAGACGATGATTCCAGCAAGTGAAGTGTTGAATCCCCGATAAAGCCCTGCAATGCCATCAGATCGGATTGTTTTCCTATAAACATCAATTAAACCATTAAATTGCCTCTCGCCGCCCTTTGTAACTGCCTTGGCATCATTCGTCAGACGCGTCCGGGCATAATCCAGGGAGTAGACAAAGAGCTGAGATGTAGCACCAGCTAAAGCACCGGATGCCAAATTCCCTGCGAACCACTTCCAGTAGCCATCCTTGTCTTTCTTGAAGTTAAACATCTTCTTAAAATGGTCTTTGAAAGCAAAATTTAGGGCCTGGAGAAACACGCACGTTTACAGGAATCAAAACACAGTTCTGTAATTCAGAGGAAGCAAATTATGAATTCTGTAATGAAGAATTCCAAAGAAAGACGCAAGACTAGAATCAAGTCATCTGTCAAGGTTGCTGGATTCAATCAACCAACCTGAGTGGGGAAGTATCTGATAACATTTGTATTGTTGCCTCTCCAAAGAGAAAGGACGCCTTCATCCTTGACTGTCCGAGCAAAGCAATCAGTAATTCCCTTGTATCGCTCAGTCAGGCGTCCGGCTTTGATCATCTCCTCCTGATTCTGAATTAAAAGCTTAACTCTCTCAATAGGAGCAGTAGCAGTTTTTGACACAGCACCTGAAACCCCTCCCATGAGGAAATCCACCATAAAGCTAGAAAAGCCCGTCTCTTTTGCTGAAGGGATCAGAACAGGGGACACTTGCGATACATGATGGAGTCCAGTAACTTGGGAGGCTGGGAAGCAAGGGCTTCCGAGACCAGTAACTTGGGAGGCTGGGAAGCAAGGGCTTCCGAGACCACCATTGACATATCCACCCGTAAAATTTTCTATGCTAGCATTTCTACGATGCATGTAAGGAGATGGTTGAGCACAAACATAGAATCTCCCCTGCATTTTCTGAATTACAGATGGCTGATGGAAACTATCCGCCATCTTTGCTTATCAACTTGGTGATCTGCAAAGTTGCAAAACAATGCTGATGATTCCAGACCACCCAAAAAGGAACTGTAATTTCTGGTTTGGTGAATGAAGTTTAAAGAACACCAAGAAGGCTCAATTCTTCACAAAACAACTTATGAAATATATGTAGACGTCCTCTAGCTTATATATTAACAAGAAAAGACGAGAATTGTCTGCATAACAGTATAGTTCCGCGGTTCATGGACTGACCAAGCATCTTTAGAAAATTCCCCGATTCGCTGTATGAATCTGTAAATAACTTGAGCTGTATGTCAAGCTAATGTGGACATTAACATATAAAAATAGGTCGGAAGGCATAACTTGTTATAACATAAGCTTAATTTTCGGCTCGGCTGAAGTCCGAAGTAAATCTTGTGCGTCAGATGAATCCATGCATAAGAAAATCAACGTACAGTTTATAGATCAGTCAACTAATTATTGATTTATGAATCGAAACCTCTGAGAATATGCCAAGCTGAGAATGAAGCAGAATGGGGTAAGCTGAGCCTCATTCCAGAACGTTGAAAATTCGCTGAGATAAATAATATTCTTGTTAGTGTACAAATTTGCTTCAGCCTCTTTAAAAAACAGTTAAAAAACGGGAACGCGTCTTTGAATGATTTTTCAAAACCTGACAACTCTTGACTGTTTTGAAAAGTAAAAGTAATTGACTTTCTTTGGTCAAAATGGTGAATATAAATAAAAGAAACAAAAAATGTTGAACTTGGTCTACTGTAACAAAATGGGTCCAATTATCATAAACTATTATATGTCTGCAGTTACTACATGTTTGAGTCATAAATCTCTGAACGGCTTTGAATGGGAGCAGCAAGCTCGGAAATATAGGCATAAAACCTCCAAGCACCAATGAATCTCTGTTGGTTGACTTGGGCTCAGGAGTGATGTTCAATTTGCCAATTATTTGATCGAGAGTAGTGCAACGTCACTGAGATGATCATTGTTGATCGCTTTCATCAACGTTTCACTGATCATGGATTGAAAGAGATTGGGAAGAAGCTTTATCATGTAAAATGCAGCTTGAGAGAAATTCACATCCCATAGTCACAATTAGACACGTCAAAATGGATGACTGCCAGATTTGGGTTGGTTAAAATGGGTAACGAGTATAAATGAATCAACTCATTTATACCCCATTTAATTAGATAGATATAAATGGGTAAAACAAAAAAATAAATTGGGTAATCTAGTAATCCATTTATAACCCATTTATTTTAATTTTTTTTAAACTCATTTTTGCAAACTAGTTATCAATTTATACTGCCCTTTGCACCCATCATTAGTTTCAAATATTTACTTATAATGTTCAATAAGCCTAGTTACTAATTTTTTGTCCATCCGTATTCTAAGTCGCAAAATTACATACTATTTAATAATTGAACAATAAGAATATAAAAATTTGAACTAAGTGCTATAAAAGTTAACATAAAAACTTAATCCAAAAATTTAGAACCCCTAACATTTTTTTTGTGTGTAAATTTAAAATTTTATTTTGAAAAGGTACGAAAAGAGGCTAAAACTTATCATAAATTGGTAATGCTAAAAAATGAGCCAATTAACAAACTAAGAGAAAATAAAATAATAAGATAAAACCAACAAATAATAATAATAATAATAATAATGAAACAAAAGTAGTTAACATTATGACAAAATGAAAAATCAAAAAAAAAAATGGATGGTGAAAAATTGGAGGTTTGGAGGAAGATAATTCTAAATGAACTAATTGGGTTTATTGAATTATTATAAATGAATATTATTGGATAATTCATTTATACCCAAATACAAAAACTTAAGTCTTAACCGTTGTTTTAATATTCAATCTGTGTTATGGAAGGATAATTATTGGACCTCCATTGGATCAGAAACGGATTACATTATCTAAAGCACAGGTTCTGTCACATTATTGGTCAACCTGGGATGTTCCAGCTTACCAAAGCCCTAGTTAACCACTTTCCCGTGTCATGGGTATGCAATCCAAGGTGGACCAGTTTAGCGCACATGTCAGCCCAAAGGATAATTTTTTGATACAACAGTGGAAATCTTTCAACTACAAACTGGATTAATTTGACAATTACCACCACAAACTCATGACACGCAACTAAGATTGACGACTTCACAAAGTTCCTGAATATTGGAACGAATAAAAATTCGATACAAGGGCTATAGTCTGCTCTATGATGAAGCAGCATTCCATCAGAAGCATTGACGCCTAATGTGTCCTACATTCATTGGGTGAAATCATGAATGACCAACAGAGTTTCTTCAAAGAGCACGCATTCATCATAGTTCAACGAATGTGTGTTCCAGCAGTAAGCGTCTGTACGCTGCACTGTTCAAGAATAAAGGACATCAAAGAATGTGAGATGTTAATTTCTTAATAGAAACTTCTTTATTTACAAAATCTATCTGTAAGTCAAAGGCACTTACCACCATTTCGAAATATTTTGAATTGCGCAGTTGACATTTAAGTTCTAGATGACCAATTTAACATTTGTTGGAATCATCTACTCTGCTAAGCTGAACACAAGGAATTCTTTTGCTTCACCAATAACTGCTTAAGCTTTTTAATTAGCTGGGGATTTGAGCACATGTAATCCTGGAATGAATGCCTTAAATTCCTCAACAAGCTCTTGTGATCTTCAGTGGGACTTGTATTAAGCAACTTCATAAACAAGTTTTTCCATAGGTCAACTTGCATATATCTGAAAAGAGCCAAAAAAATTGAACATAAAATTCTACATACTTGTTTGTTATTTTTTCCCTGGAGATGTTACAGTCTGGTATACAACGTGCAATACTCCATTTAGTGCTCGTATGGAAATGAAGAACAAAATGATATACCTCTTTAAGTGTGTTTTTGGTTGATAGACATAGCCCCCACCTGGTGATGGTCTTTTTTCAATTTCCATGTATGACTTGTGAAGCATCATATGAACAATTACACAAAGGCCATAGGTATCCACCTGGTTCCCAATCCAAATGAGAAATCAGTATGCAGTACGTCTTAAACTAATCAGCTGGCTTATGCTAGTTTCTTAAGAATTAGGCTTGCCTGAAAGGTCCATGGCTTATTCTCTTGCATTTCTATGCAACGAAAGCCAGAAGTTCGACAATCTCCCATCAATTTTGCATCGTCAGGAAAGAGACGCAGATCTATACCCCTACCCCAGTCAACAAGGCACAGTCCCTGCAGAATCAAAACTCGAATAATCCAGCAATATTGCAATTTTAATCGATTTTAGGTAATCCAGAATATACCTGTTCCTTCCATGAACCACTGCATTCATAAAAGCTATCCTTATCTTCCAGTAGATCCCTTCTACAAAAAGGAAAAAGTTACCAATTTAAATTAAGGATTAAAATTTTCTAAACTTGTTAGGAGATATGACTTGATATACATAGTAGTTTCAGAGCGGAAGCCATTTAGTGGAGCGCTTAAGAGTCTAGATAACATTCCAACACCAAAAGCAAAGCCAATTATCCAAACTTTTTGCGCAATCATCTCGGAAGAGCCAAAATTCATTGTAAGCCCTTAGCCAGGAATCTTTAAGAAAACAAGCATCCAAGTATATGTAGCACGCAAAGTTCCATATGTATTAACAAGCATGCGGCGCACTCTTTGACGAATGACCTCCTGTAACCTTCTAGAGTAAATTTAGTTCTCCGACCACCAAAAAAATGACACAAAGAATATCCCATCACAAGACCAAAACCTGAATGAAGCCAGAAAACTTGCACCACAAGGAGTAATCCAATTTCACGGACATGAATTATTTTTTTCTGCATCTTTAATTCCCTTACTCCACTGCTGATGAGCACATGCTTGTGTACCTTCCAGATAAATTCAATGTGATTTTGCTTGTCGAAAAAAAAATGCTCTCTCTTTCAATTCTAGATTCTTACCTGAGTTTAATCACTCTTAATTACAGAAATTATAGTCGTCCATCCTCTAGAACAGCAAAACTAGATCATCAAAGATGCGTAAATCGCCTAATAGTTAAAATCCTTGTGAATCACTACAAAATTTTGTGCATACATCTCCAAGCCATGAGCCAAACTTATCTAAAATGCAACATCAGTGTTTCAATATGCAAAGTTTCAAGTGTATCCTGGATAAGCTACTGCTTTTCATACAGTTTCTTTCAAAAAATATTGCACAAGTTTACCAGGCCAAAAAATGTTTTACAACAAATTACCTACATTAGAAATACTTTTATGGGTAAAATAAGTTAAAAAGTTGATAAATGAAAATACAACAGAATAAAACGCAAGCAGATCCTGTTGTCAGTGAAAGATGACATGACGCAACATAATTACCTGGAATATCGAATCATCAAATTGTCAGGTTTAAAATCACCGTGGATAATGGCAGCATCATGCAGAGTTTCCAAGATCCGCAGCATCTCTATCGTGTAATAGATAGACAACTCTTCTTCCATGGCCACATTAGTTACAAGATTAGAGGTTATGGCATCCTGTAGTGCATTCAAAGCGGTCAAGCAATATCCAGGTTGTCACAGTATAATTTGGAAGATGCACAAATCAATCTATAGCAACCTGAAGAGTCCCATGAGCTAAGTAGTCAGAAACAAGTATGCTGTAGTCAGAGTAGAGATGCACTCGGTGGGCAAAGCCAAAGTTCATCCTCTGTTTCACCAAATAAAAAATAAAAAATAAAAACCTTGAAATAAGGCCACACATTCTATAGAAATTCATGCAGTCAATGTTTAATACTAACAAGAATGGCATACTTCTGATTCTGGAATACGCATATCGAGCAGACGATACATATAGAACTCCCAAGGGAAAGCTGGCTTCTGAATCTGTTATAAAGTTTCATAAAGTCATAGCATTACCCACAAGATCTGACTTGAGCAGAACTCTCATTCAACGCAAAGTCTTGCAAACCTTAAGTGCTACGACATCATCAAGATTACCATCCACATGTGCTTTAAATACTTGAGCAAAACCTCCCTGACCTGCACAACCTTTGATCTGGTACTTGTACCCACCTTTAAATATCAGCAATCCACAACAAAAATGAAATTCAGGGGGATATGAATTATTGGTTAATGTTTCAAGCATTAAAAAGAATCACATTTAGTAAAAGACTGGATTCTGATGCGACTTTCATACTAAGCTGAGATACTGCATATTGATGTGACAAGGAATTCTGTAAACTTGAAAGCACTTCAAGGAGTTTGTTTTATATCATCTATGTCTATGACTATCCATAAAGGGATTTACTATTCACATTCTGCTTCCAAATCTCAATGATGACAGACACACTAAATGCTGCTTTCTTTTTCT